CCCATCCCAGGGATCGGTATTCATTTGTGCTAGTGAACCCGTATGGCGTTAAAATGCCCAAAATTGAATTTCAAAAACTTAAAAAATATGTACTTCAAATGTTAGTCAGAGTTATAAGGGATCAGAGTGCTATATTTCATCAAATCGTGCAGCCGTTTCTGAGTGAAGAGCAGTCCCGCATAGTGCATGTTTTTATTTTCATCGAATTTCAAATCACCCTACCCCGATGAAAAAAGTTCTTAATTAAAAAAATAAAACTTTATCATACATCTACAGGCTAAGGTCTCTAATTTGACGTCTCATTTGTTGAAATTCCTTTTCAAAAGTATTCTCAAACTAAAATCTTCTTAAATCTCTTCGTCTGACATTGTGATACACATGTATTTCAATCAATTAATTCGAATTGGATTTTTCGAACAAATGGCAACCCTCCTAAATAAAGGTCAGGAATAAAATCCTTTCAAGCCCATTTCGATGTAAACCCATCTTTTAATAATTCATCCAACTTACTTAATAATTTGAATGTAACTTTTTAATCACGTGGCCACTCTCTTGAAACATTCGAAATGTTCAAACTCAAGATTTCTTAACATTCTTTCGTTTGACTATGGCATTTTTATTTTTCATATACTTTTTGAATTAGTTAGTTAAGTTGGACCTTTCAAACAGGTGGCAGCCCTCTTCAAAATATTGTCAAGCTTAATCATCATTAACCCTCGTTCGCCGGACACTGCGGTAGATATTTTAGTTAACTGATGAATTAAGTGGAATTTTAACTTTCAAACATGTGGCAACCCCGCTAAATACAGTTCAGAAATAAAAAATTTTTAAAACCCCCTTCGATTCATACCCATATTTTAATAATTCATTTAACTTATAAAATAATTTGAATTTAACTTTTTAAACAGGGTGCAACACCTTAAAAATATTCGTAGCGTTTAAACAAACTACTTCTTAACACCACTTTGCTTGGCATCCATATTTTGCTATTTCGTATAACTTGTGAATAAGTAAACTAAATTCGACATTTCAAACAGGTGGCAACTCTCTTCAAAATATTTTCAGACTACTACTTTCTGAAACCGCTTTCGTTTGGCACCCATATGGTGATACACATTTCTCTTACTTAAAATGATTTTTTTTAAACAGTTGGCAACCCTCCTATAGTTCAGCTAAGAAACGAAGCTTATCAAAACCTTTTCGTTTGATACCCAATTTGTAATAATTGGTTTATTTTTTCCAATTATTTGAATATAATGTTTTAAAAGGTGGCAACTCTTTTAAAAAAAGTAAAACCTTATTGCAAATCCACAGTCCAAGGCTTTCAGTTTGACGCCTCATTTTTGTAAATCGAACGAACGGTGCGGATTTGATGGCATTGATTATTCAATCATTTCAATTTATTTTTTCAACAGATGGCCACGTTTTTCGAAAAACTTAAACCAGTTTGCATATCTACAGACCAAGCGCTTTAATTTGATTCTCATTTTTGAAAATCGAGCGACCGGTAAGATCATTGATGGAATCGGTGGATTTAACCGTGGTTTCCCTGTACCATGGCTTGATGCATTTCTGAAGACGGGTTTATATATATATTTTTCTCTACAATGTTTTGTTGTGCAAACGAAAAAGCCTCATAGCCAAACCGCTGAGGTCAAGCAATTGTACTCAAACTCCATTGTTCGCAGTTTAAACAAAATTTCGTGTTGCTGCAAGCAAATTGCTACAAAATAGTAAAACCGCCATAAAAAGAATAAGAGAAATCTGAGGCCACCACAACTAAGGAAAATGGAATATCGAGATACTGAAACCGAAAGCTAAGTAGCCGAAATGCCACAAATGCCAAGCTGGCATTAGAGAGTTCTTGCAGAAATACCCATTTGGAAAATCTTGAATAAAATGTATGTAAAGCAAAAACTATGCAAAGAACAATAACGGCAATATATTAACATATCGAGAGTCCTTTACTTTATGACTAATTTTTAAAGATAAAGTAAGGGTTCTTTGTTTTTATTTTGAGTTGTGTCGTTAATGTAGAGGACCGTCGATAAGTACTTCTTCGTCAAAATTTCACTTTATTATCGGTAAGTGATTTTGTTTGAGTTTCAATAAAACATGGCAGTTAATTAGAATTGTTCTGAATGTTGTCCTTATAAGCCTCCCGCACTTTAAGCTAACAGTGGATAATTTTTTCGTATTACTGGTGAATGAACATGTGTACCAGATTTAAATTTTAAGGTATAGTTAAGGTTTTGACAACAAACTAAAGTACACAAAATTCTGCATTATACTATTAAAAAATTTTCTAAATATATACCGCTGATTTGCAATTAGCTCTTAAAATTTTAACATTTTTTAGTTTTGTGAAGGCCTTGTAAAAAACGCGACTCTTTTCAGTATTTTGAAGGTATTTATTGATTTTTTTTTTCAATATTCATATTACAAGACTTTTCGGCCCAGTTAACGATTGTTGAATACAAAAAAAAAAAATAGAAAATGAATTACCACCACTTGCATCACCAGGAGTGGGCATAAATTCCATCGTTTGCCTGAAGGAAATTATTGCATATGGCTTGTTGGTTTGGTTGGTTTGGTGGAAAGTCTCTGAGATGAACTGTGTCAGTACAATGTTAGGCAGGGTGCAAATATAGGCCTGCATTGTGACCTCATTTGTTCGGAAATTTTTTACAGCTTCCACATAGCCATGGGTAAAGTAGTAATGCATTACATGCGTGATTCTCATACTGTTTACTAAGTAATCAGCATTCTAATGTTTTACTGATTATTTTTTCGATTACCATACATTACATTTTCTCACTGAGTTGTTAAGTTTTCTACAGGACACAATATAAATACATACTTGTGTTGCATGTCTGAGTTTATAAAGTGCGCATTCATGTTCATTTGTCCGTAAGTTCGTCTGGAGATTTTCGCAACAATAGAAAGTAATAATATCATTTACAACAACAACTCAACAATAACAGCAGATTTGTTGTCCCCAGTGCAGTACGTATGTAGATTGAAATTATCCAAAAAAGCAGAGTATATTTGTATACATTACAGATTTTGTTATTGGCAAGCATTAGTTGTTGGCTGTCGTCTGGTTCATTGCATGCAGCTTTGTTTTGTAGACAACAGAGTTTGTTTGTCACAAAAGCTGTGATTGTGTGCAACAAAGTTATAGCATTAAAATCGAATAAACGCAATATTCTGAAATAACAACTCGCATGTTTGTATGTGTGTATGTATGGCTTTAATATGAATGTATTTTTGCAGGAGTTGCAAGCATTTGTGTGTGCGAGTAGAAACGAAAAACAAGGATTCTATCGATCGACTTTCATGTGGACAGACGTATGGATATTACGTTGTCATTTTTGCTGCAAAGGTACGCACATATATGCCGGTATATGGATGCAAGAATGTTTCTAGTTTGTAGTCGATTACCCATTTTGTTTAAAAACTCAATTCATGCAGCCAAGCAAGAACACGTGCAGTCTTCGATTCATGCAACTAAGATTTGAAATAAAATTATTTGGAAAATCTAAGCTTTTGTTCTTTTGTTTCCAAGTTTCTAATGCAATTAATGCATACTTCACATTTTCTTTTCAAATGCATTTGTAAGCAAAAACTTTGTATTTTTTTTTTATCAAAGACATGCAGAGTGGATGATGTTTTGACGGGATTTAAATGAAAGTTGAAAAGTAATTTTTGGTCAAAACACTATAAGGAAGTGTTCAAAAACAAAACAAATCTTCACAGTCATACGACACGCATGAAAAAAATACATTTTTTTTGGTATTAGTAATGTAAACACGGAAAATTCAGATACCCATAAAATAATAAAGCGAAACTCATTTTGACTTTGACCAGAGTTGGTCGTCAACAGAGAGCCATGTACAGCGGCCTTTATTCCACGTTGGATGTTGGTGATAACATGCCTCTAGTATCTGGTGGAATTCCGTTGATAATAGCACAACTTCTTAGGAAAGGATGATATGCCAAGCGGTTGAGCTGCGCCATAGGCCTGGAAATTATATTCCGTCTGCTATCCCCATTTATAACAAATTACTTTCTTAGAAAGTAGCAAAGAGCACTGGTGCAACAGCTCCGGCTATGCTCAACAGGACTACCTTGGGTTAAGTGCTCACTGAAGGATTTAGCCTAAATAGGTTCCACGTTCTATTTTGGCCACCAAAAGGAAAATGGGAAAAATCAGAGGTATTCTCTCTGCACACTAAAAATTGAGAGAATATCACCACAGAGTAAGAATTAAATTGAACGTTATCGTTTACTATGCATCGCTTCTGCGACCGGCCAATAGATATGTATACGGACGCATCTTGCGTTTGACGCAGTCTATAGGAGACGTGACAAAACTTAAAGGTCAAGATGACATGGTATTTTCGTTTCTAGAAAAATATTTCGCCTTTTGATTGCATCATTCTCTATTCATGTTCCAGAAATTGAAACATTTTTACGTAAACCTCTTCAACCAATATCCCTGGTTCCGATGGCTCAAACCTTCAATACATATAAAATTCAAGGATATCCAATGTTATAAGTAACTTAACTCTATGTACCCGAAAACCAGACGGCATATCTGGTACCCCTAAAGACAATCGTACGCAATGTATAATAATGTTATTTACCCTTAAATGGCTTAGCGTATATCAAGTCGTATTTATAACAACCGACGGCAGGTCGCCACTGTGGTCATCAAGCGGCTACAAGGCAATAATTTCACACTTTAGAGCTGTTTTTGTAATAATATTCCTGTTACTTTTAACTACAATTACTACAAATTAAATTTATTCTGCTTATTTTGCATAACAATTCGATTTGAATTTGCAACACTCCTCCATGCAACAATCGTTATTCACTTCCTTGCTGCATTTGATCTTTCCCAACACTTATCACCTTATCTTTCTTCGATCTGCCCACAACCATTACGCATACAAACACTCACTTCTGCGCTTTAAACATTCGAATTTCACACTTACCGCATCTTCGTTCTCCTCCAGCTTACTATAGCTGGCACAATCCTCGCACACACGCTGCTGACACTCGAAGCACGTCTTGTGATAGTCGTCGGGCTTGAAGGATTTCAAGCATACACGACACGCCCCCGCACGCCGCCCTGGCTCGTTTTTCGATGAATTCGCACTGCCTGTGCTGCTGCCGCCTGTTGTGTTGTTATTATTGTTATTGTTCTGATTGGCCGCATAGGCGTCCTGTGACTGCTGTTGATAGCCGCCGCCGCCATAGCTGCTGTCCTCGCTGGGCGCCAACGAGGGACGTGGTGACATTTTATTTACTGCAAAAGAAATAAGTAATAAAAATTGTAAATAATGCATGGAATAATGGAAGAGCTGGTAAGAGTGGGGTAAGTGTGAGAAGGCTTGCATGAAAATCAATTAAAATACATTTTTGTAATTTTTCGAATGGGCTTGGGGAGAAGTTGTTTCGTGTGGATTTTGTAATTACTAAAATATGTTGGCTTTCGTCAGAAAGGTGTCCGCATAAAATTGGATTGAAACTACTTATTTCAATGAAAGTCTTATAAGAGTATATTTAGAGGGTTGGCAGCGGCCACAAAGGAGAATGGTTTGGGTCTGCGTTACGCGAACAGATAGAGTAAGGGTAATTTACGTGAACCTATTTTAACAATTAAACTTTACTTAGAAAAATCACACTTGATACCTTTCGAGCCATAAAATGAAAAAAAATAGTTAATTTAACCAAAAAAAAAAACCATTTTTTTGGCTTTAAGAAAGGATAACTCAATAGTACACAATTTAGTTTTATAGAATTTTATTCAATATAAACTATATATATACTTATCTATTAGTTTATGGGGCCACTTAAAACAAATCCTCATTCAGGTTTGAAAAATCAAATATGGCGGACAAATTTTTTAAAATTTATTGAATTCGCTCGAAGCTTGTTACTCGTGGGTTTTTGGTAGTATTTGGGAGTTTTTATGGTACTTGATTACGAATCTCAAAGTAGATTTAAAAAAGTTTAAATGATGGGTCCATTACGACGGCTTTCGAATTTAAAAAGTTATTGAATTTTAAAAGGACACAGTGAAAATTTTACAAATATTAAAAAAAGTTAGCCAAAAAATGGCTATAAGTTTCTGTGTATGTGTAGTTTATATGCTAAATAATAACAACGTGTTAATAGATTTTTGGCAAAATTCGGCAAAGAATTTTTCTACAATTTTTAAATCTAACAGAGTTATATTTTTCTTGTACATATGTACTTAAAAAATGTATGTTTTCACTATTATAAATGAAGAATTAATAAATCTTAAGACGACACGATATTTTCAAAATTTTCACTACCTGCTATTAAAAAAAAAACCAAAGGAGCTCGATACGCCTCTAGCGAACTCTAAAAATTTTAGGGAATTTCTGGTACATTCAGGACCGTAGCGTTTACAGGTGCAAAATGCAAAAAATGGACCTTCAAATAAATTCTAGAGTGGAGAAGCGTATCTACTAAACATTCCTAGGAAATTATCCTGGTGCTGGTATCGGTTTGAAGACTTTCGTTTTTAGTATTTCGTCTCGCTGGAATCTCCATTCATACCACGGTGTGTCGTCTAATTTCGTTTAGCTAACATAATCGACATTTAACTTCCTTGTGAATGTCACATAGCGCACTAAAGTGGTCTGGAAATAAGTCATAGCAGTATAGTTAATTTTTTTGCTTTACATTTTTTGTGTGCACTCTTTTCTGGTCAGGTAAAATTGAAATCTCGCTAATTCGAAAACCTCATTAACTCTTTATTTATTAATTATCGAGATTCCACTGTATAAGAAAAAATTTTGTTTGACTATTGGCTAGTTGGATGCAGCATTGCCTAAGTATTATTCATGATAGAATTTCTGTGCACTTTATTCTGGAAGCTCATAAATCCTTTATTGCCGAAAATTATTAGTATCGTCATAAATATAACTTGGTCTAGGAATCATCTTATTTCATCCACGGCGTATTTGTATACATCCTTCTGGCTTTGCGTTGAGTAGAGCCTTAATATCCGATTGATGTACGAGTAACAGCTGTGCGCTGAATCAGAGACATTGAAGGATTACTTTGTTATTGTAGCTGCGGCAGCGAATTTCAGTGGCGATATAAGAAACTTTAGAAATTAAGGAAGCATCTTGGATCTCATAGAATACCCACGCTCCTATGCAAGTTTTTTTAATTCATCACTGAAAAGGGCAATGAAGTCCATTTCTCCCGCTCATTGTCCAGTTCCTCCTAGAAGAAAATGCCATCCGATAGCTTTTATTTCTTTATCACTATTGAAAGACGTTTAGTTTCGTAGCGGAAAGACGTAACCTATAGGCAGCTGATTTTACGTCGGACTTTAATTTTTGTAAGTAAATATTATCAATATATGTACTCAAGTGTATGCCATAATCAAATACATCAATCAGAAAGATAGTCAGCTATTTATTTGTATGTAGCACGTAAATATCTCAAATAAAATTTTTCGTAGTAATGTTGATAAATCCAATATTTTGGTAAAAAATGTTGTTGCTGAACTTTGGCTGACAGCGGATAGCGTGGGAGAAAATTGGCAACACACACACACACATACATACACACGCGAAAATACAGTAGAGCCGCAAACAACAGCAAAGCTTGTGGAAAATAAATGGATTTTTAATTGAATTAGACGCGTTCATCAGCAGACATACAAACATACTGAAGTAAATAAGTACACACACGCGTTTGTTGCCTGTTGCTCACTGCATATTTTTTCACTAAATTATTTATGCATTTGTTTTTTTTTTTATTTGTATGTGTATGGGAATGTGAATGCGAGTAGTTAAATAAAATGTGTCAAGAGTTCAGGTCATGTGAAAAAGTATGCTAAACTGCAGTTGACAGCCATCAACCGTTATCATTCAATCAAATCCCTGCCAATGTTAGTGAGGCCAGAGCGAGTGACAGAGAGAGAGAGAGAGAGAGAGAACGATATTGTCAACAGACACATCAACATGTCAAAAACTTTTAATTGAACAATTAGCCAAAGAGGAAAATACTAAAGTTTTATATGGTTTTTTAAAACGAATTTAAGAAGTATAGTTGTGGAAACTTAACGCATCAGCGAGCATTCCACGAAAAAAAATGTATTTTCATCGCCACATCAATTAGTTTTTCAGACGAATTTTTCAGCAAAAATGTATTCTATTTAAAAATAAAATTAGCATAGATTAAATCGATTGCCCATTTGGTTTCATTTTATGATACTTGTATATATAATTTGCAACAATAGTAAAAAAATCATTTAGCGTTCTTTTAGCGAAAATATATTTTATATATGGGGCGTTCCACGTCAACCGGAACAGTAAGATGGCCAAAGTTCTATGGAACGGATAGCAAAGTTTAAGGTCCTCAAATGGTGTTGTCTAGACGTCCTTCATTGAAAGCAGTGTAGCAAAAGACACCATCGCTTCTAAACTAAATGTAAATTGGATTTTGTTTTCAAACTTTTGTGTTTCTGGTAACGAATCTGAGACCTTATTCAAAAAATTAAAAATGGTGGATCCAATATGGCAACAGAAAAAAAACTTGAATCTCAAATTAGGAAAATTCAAAATGGCGAGCCCAATATGGCAGCCAACAAAAAAAAATAAAATTGTTCTTAAGGTCGCTGATTACGAACCTGAAATCAGATTTAAAAAATTTAAAACGGCCGATCTCTATTGGATCTACCACCTAACGCAAATCTGCGACGCCAGATCTGTATCCAGCTAGCCAAAAGGTGCTTAAAAGAGTATCCCTTGATCTCTTTTATTAGGCTTTGCAAATTTTTCTAATGATATTATATGTCAGTTCGTGAGTTTGATTTTCCAAAATCGCCACACTGTCTTCAAAGTAGCAAGAGTGTACAAAAAAAGCTCTGTTCCGGTTGGCATGGAACTCCCCATATATAATTTAGCATAGAATTCTAGCTTTCAATCAATTTTACTTAATCATATATATTTTTTATAGCTACAGCAAAAAATTCTTAAGCATTATCAATCATTTTCATCTCTGGTAAGCAACGAAGCTTATACTCGGACTATTTGAACATTCCACCCACAATGGAATGCTCCTAAATAATTTATTAAATAAACAGGGACTGCTTAAAGTAATAGCCATTAAAAGCACTTATGTATATGTATAAAAATATGTTAAAATTTCAATTGAAATTGATGTTCCTGACAAATTTGATATGTACCCGTATGAAAAAATATTTAAGTGGCGTTTGTTGGCTTTAAAAACCGTTAACAGTGACATTTAGTATGATGCTTTGCTTACACCTCTAATTATAGCTTTGAATATTTAATACTGGCCGCCATGGCGTATACGTCACTTAGTCACGTTCTGTCAACAGAGTTTTGCTTGCATTAACGATAAGTTTTTTTTCGATAGTTTCATTTTTTTCTCAATTACACCATAGTGGCATTTGCTGTTTTTTAGTTCCATTTCTTGGACTTGGATTTGACACTTAGCCGTTAAAGTATTAAATGCCAGGACGTGAGTAGTGTTTGTTACAACAGCGATTTAGCGGCACATTTTCAGCAATCAATAAATTTGCATAAATGTTTTATGTAAGCAGTGATTTAGTACTGTTAGATTATTAGAGCAGAATTAGAGGAGAAACTCCTAGCAATTATTTTTATTATTATGAAACAGTTTTGATATGCACTTCGTTGGAAACGTTGACGAGCAAGATATGCTGGCGCAGATTTATATATGACTTAAATCTGGTAGAAGCAATTCCGTGAGGTTTTTGGAGGTTAATTACGACTAAGAATTTTCAACAAACTTCACCTATACGCCTAGCTCAGGGAGGTCGATTCCTTCAATAACCGTTGAAATTGCTCTTGTGTCAAGCTGAGGTCTGACGTATAGTAAAAGAGTTTTTGCGGTCTTTAGAGTTACAGAAGCATATATTCATATCATATTTTGCTCCTTATGGGTGCAGAGCTTATAGCTGCCTATTTGGTCGATTGTCAAACTGCGGACTACTTTAATTAGTCAACGATAACTTGATGACTGCGCTTATTATAACGCCTTCACTTTATTATTGCTTTTCATATAGGTCAAAGGAGCAAATATCGATTAAGACACGGTTCCAAAATCGGAGTTATTTAGTCTGAGGGTAGACCGATATCCGCCAATTGATTTGGTTGATTGTCTTGGGAGTGGAATGATCTTCTTTAATGATTCTTTAAAACAGTGCATATGACAGTATTGATGCCTAAGATCTTGAGGCTTTATTCGAAAGCTCTTGCTCTACGCGGTATA